TCTACAATATTTCTCTACTGTGACTAACGGTCTCTACAATATTTCTTTACTGTGACTAACGGTCTCTACAATATTTCTTTACTGTGACTACGTATGGTATGTCTACACTTCGTTTGTCGGGGGGATTGAAATATAAAGAAGAAGTCAACATACATATGGCCAATCATAGAGGTACAGATACAGACATGAAGACAGAATATAAAGTAAAGACATGCAAGACAATGTATCAGATTATGTAGACTATTTGCCATATCTGTCAAACATTTGTATTCGGACACTACGAGAAGAATAACACAAGAGTTGACCGAATATTCCACATAATTGTCTGTTCGCGTGTGATGAACGACTTCTGGATATATATTATAATAATGGCATTGACTCAATCTGTGACTGCACGCGCTCAAATCGCTCTCACGGCCCGTTCTACGTGTCTATTGTTAGGGAGCTTCACCCTACAGTCAGCACTGTAATAATGGCTTTCTTTAAGACACTCGATCGATATATAGAAACACGGGAGTATAATACAATCACTCGGGTTAACATTAAACAAGGTGACGTCCATTTGTAATCAAAGTGTTCAGTCCATCTTTAATTAGAAGATAATCCGCCTTTAATCAGGGAACGTTTCATATTTAATTAGAATATAATCCGCCTTTATTCAGGGAACGTTTCATCCTTGATAAGAAGTGAGCAATTTTTAATTCCGGAACAATCCATTTTAATCAAGGGCCAACCAATATTTAATAAGGGCTCATCCCATCTATAATCAGGATTCATCCAATCTTTAACTGGTGATTATCCCATCTTTAATCAGGATTCATCCAATATTTAACTGGTGATTATCCCATCTTTAATCAGGATTCGTCCAATCTTTAACTGGTGATTATCTCATCTTTAATCAGGATTCATCCGATCTATAAATGGTAATGATTCCATCTTTAATCAGGATTCGTCCAATCTTTAACTGGTGATAATCCTATTATTAATCAAGACGCATCCCATCTATTACAGGAGGTAATCACATCTTTAATCAGGACTCATCCAATCTTTAACTGGTGATTATCCCATCTTTAATCAGGATTCATCCAATTTATAAATGGTGATGATCCCATCTTTAATCAGGACTCATCCAATCTTTAACTGGTGATAATCCTATTATTAATCAAGGCTCATCCCATCTATTACAGGGGGTAACCACATCTTTAATCAGGACTCATCCAATCTTTAACTGGTGATAATCCTATTATTAATCAAGGCTCATCCCATCTATTACAGGGGTAATCACATCTTTAATCAGGACTCATCCAATTTATAAACGGTGATTATCACATCTTTAATCAGGACTCATCCAATCTTTAACTGGTGATAATCCTATTATTAATCAAGGCTCATCCCATCTATTACAGGGGGGTAACCACATCTTTAATCAGGACTCATCCAATCTTTAACTGGTGATAATCCTATTATTAATCAAGACTCATCCCATCTATTA